TTGAATAAATTGTAATTAATTATAAATTCTAAAAATAATATTAATAATATTAATAATTATAAATTATAAATGCTTATAATAATAATTTGTAATGACAATTATAATTAAATATAATAATAATTATAAATTAGTATTAATTATAATAATTTAAATAAAAAATTATAATAACTATTATAAATCTCAACAATTATAATTATAATAATAATAAATAAAATTTATATATTAAAATAAAAATAAATTATAATCTATTTTAATAGTTATTAGAATAGTCATTACATATGGAAAAATTTAATAATTATATTTCTGATTCAGGGTGTTGGCAGACCTGGACAATCTAATGCCAGGGACGACGACGAGGCGTTTGATGACTATTATGATGGTTCTGGCACCCAACACACTAAAAGTCGGGGTGTCAATGCGTCCGTTCGTCGGGAGAGGGACATGAAAAGGCAGGCGATGATCGATGAGGCCTGGAGGGTACAGGTTCGTCAGGCTAGGCCGAGTTCGAGACCCCCCGCACCAGTGCGAGATTGTCCGCAGGGATATCATTTGAGGGCCAGCCAGATAGTTCGCGACTTCACGGAGTCCTCCAGTACGGTGAGCATGGATTTTATTATCCTGGCCAGGCAGCCAGTTCGATGCCCCTGGCACTAGGAGCGTACGATCAGTCGCGATATGCTTTTTCCCGCTACGCAGGGAAGTCGATACTTCCTCGCACACGAGTACCATTACCCTATGGTCAGCAGGGGTATGCTGATGAGTCGTACGGCGAAAGGGAGCAGGGTTCAGAGGAGTGTGACTCGGACGACTCCTCATATGATCAGGACCACGCACAGCCTACGGGTCCTAGCCACCCTCGTCCTCCTGTGCAGCCTGTTCATCCGGTACAGCCAGTTGTACAGCAGGTTCGTCCGGTACAAGCTGTTCGTCCTACACAGGCTGCTCTTCAACGACAGGATGGGGGGCGTTTTGGCCCATCTGCATCCTCATCAGGTAAATAATTTACGTATTTATTGTTGTTTAACATAAATTATTTTCACTTAATCATAACAAATTATCGGTACTGTTAGAAAAGTATTATCGGTCTGCTCCTCAACTACGGTATAATTATTTTGTAATTTAGAGGAACCATACAATTAATTAGTTAGAAAATTATTATAATTATTTTTATTATTGTTATAATCAATTAGTAGTAATGTTACATAATAAATTAGTTTAAAATTTTCATTATATTTTATTAATGTAAAGTGTAACGTTTGTAGATTAATTGAAAAAAAAAAGAATAGAAAACTTATGAAATATGTTTTATTAAATATATTTTATTAATGCATCTACCAGCAAGTCAATATATACAGATATGTTGTATTTTAATGCAGGTACTAGCAAATGAGCTAGGACCGATGATGATGCACCCTGGATCGTTAAAGGCCCAGTGCCCGGTGGGCCCATTGATGGGAGTGTCATCCCTAGCTTTCTAGGGCACGTCGCCTCCCGCATGTAGAGTGGAGATTTGAGGGGGCCGCTGAAATGCCACAACAGACTGAGAGCGGTCGAGAATCTGAAGGCTTGGCGTGAAGAAATGTCGTCCGATGCGAGAGCTCTTCTCAACCAGAACGGGCTGTCACATTTGGCCGACTCCATGCACATCCACTTCGACACCCCATTTCTTTCTGCGTTTGTGGAGCGATGACAGCCGAATACTAACTCGATTCACATGCCTTTTGGTGAAATGAGCATCATGCTGCACGAAAATTATCGTACCTCCGAATTTGACGACATTTCACCGTACACTTTCTTCTGAAATGTTTAGGAAAAATAAAAAGAGTAAAATCGTCCAAGAGGGGCGGTGAGTAATAAAATGGAGGCGGTAAATAGTATAACAATAATTGAAAGGAGGCGTGGAATTTTGTGATATCCTCAAAACATCTTGTCTTGTGATTTTTGAAAAATTACATTCTAACTTTTACACATGTAGGTCAAGCATGAATATTAAAATTTTTGGGACAATTATTTTTTCTAATATTGCTTTATATCAAAAGTTAATTGATTCTTTTTCACAAGTAGCAATGGCATAGGGAGGGGCCTTTGTCTAATCCCCCTTTTTTTGGTTCATTTTATAGATGAAGAAAGGAACTCTCATCTGGCTTTTTAACTTTCGAATATATTTACTCAAATAAATAAATTGTGTTTTGAAATAACTTTAACATTTGAAAATGTTTATTCAATGATTAATATTAAATTAACAAATTGAACTCCATTTAGGTGTTTGACCTGACAAATTCCCTAATTGACTTGTTTGGTAAAAAAATTATTTGAATTCAAAATGCTAATCATAAAAAAAGTTCAATAGAACCGTGTTTTTAGTTTATTCAAATGATAATTCAAACAAAAAAAAAATAAAATAAAAAAGAAATACTATTTACCAAATATTGATTTATAAACCATATTACAATATGTTATTAATATTATTAACTATCTCTAAATTTAGTATATAGTAGTTTTCAATAAACACCAATTAACAAGGAGTATATAAACTATGTTTGGTAAAACTAACTAATAAGCTAATTTATAACTTATAAATGATTTTCGAGTTTATAGCTTACGACTTACAGCTAAAAAGTTAGCATAATAAAAGTGTTTGATAAAATTAGTTGATAAGCTAGCTGAAATAAAAATTTCAACGAATTTGTTTGAAAAGTTACTCAAATTAGGTTATGAGATAAACTTAAACTTAAAAAATAAAACTCGTCATACTCGTCAAACTTATTTGGTTACAAAACACAGTGATATAAGACTTGTTCATAAAGACAATGGTTAGAACAACTAGTTTCTTACAACGCATTCTTTGTGAAACTCGTCACAATTGATGGGTCAACGATACATAACGACATTAAATTCGTATGATTTAGTTTGATGGGTGAAAATTCAAAATATTGGAACATTGTGCTCATTCAACTTTTCCTAATTTTATTTTAGACAGCATAATTCTTTGCTATTTGCATTTTGAGAACCAACTCTAAATTTATCTCCCCTATTGTTTCGAATTTTATCTAAAATAAGGATATCGAGAAAGAAATAAATCGGAAGCAAAAGCCGAGAAAAAATGAAGGACATTATTTAAACAGGGATTAAAATTGGGGAACCAAAGTAATAAATGCGAAAAAATGAGGCCAAAGTGCAAAAAAACAAACGAGCCATTTATAAAATGAAAAGGCTTATGGGCCATTTTTCATTCCTTTTTTGCGGCGACTCGCCCTCTGTTTCGAAATTGATCTTCCATTTTCATCACCACCATTAGCTCATCGCGCTCTCCGTTCTTCTTCGCCTTCTTCCTTCTTCACCAGTTTCCATTTTCAGACATATACATGTCATAAATCTTGCAAAGAATAACCACAAAAAAAAAACAACAACTTTTTTTCTTCTTTTTGTCCTTCTAGAAATCGGGTGAAGGAGATAAGATTACAGTTGCAGAATTTGAAAACGACGGAGATAATTGAGAAGTGAAAGGCCCGTTTTTCTCTTTGTTTTCGTTGTTTTCCTCAAATAATTTTCCGTTCATCCTGCAATCGAGGTGCTTGATATTTTTTTTTAGGTTTTTTCACGTATGTAATGCATCAGAAAAAATCCGAAGTACAGATCGGAAAAGAAAGCAGCGGCGTCTCTTCCGATTTCAACCCGACCCCACCTCTCCCGCCGTCTTCCCTCACCCAGAAACACCCCCACCTTTCTCAAAATTCCCATCCGTGTCCCCACCACCCGCCTCCTTCCTCCGGCGTCGTTTCCACCCTTCAGATCCTCATCAACGACGAGAACCAGCCGCAGCTGGACCAGAATGACCATTTTTTCCTCAAGCCCACCCCTTTCAAGCGACCCCATCTCCAGCAGCAATTCTCCAGTACCCTCGCCAAGACGCCGACTTTATCCAACGCCCTCCATAGATACAGCGGCGTTACCTCACCGAACCTACCTCCAAAATTCAATATTTTCTACAATCGGTCTCGGAAATTCCTGACTCATTTCAACCACCACCTCCGCCACCTGCGCCGCCGGTTTCGGGTCCACCTCCGCCTCATCCTTCTACTCACCCTTCCATTCTTCTACTTTCTGGTTTCTCAACCTTCCAGCTCGTTTGTGCTCGATTTCCTGTCTGCTTTTGCCTTCTCGGCCGTGCTTCTGTTCTCATTAAACTTGGCCATTCCAAGGCTGCCCTCTATAAGGTTGTTCCTTTCCAGGTCATTGCCGATCAAGATTAGTGCAAAGGGTCACACTACCGGGCCACACTTGCCGGTGTTTTGGTCTATCGGGTCCCGGGAAAAGGCGGATAAGAAAACTATCTCGGGATGTTATGTGCAGGCATATAGCAATGGGGATGTGTACGAGGGTGAGTTTCATAAGGGAAAATGTAATGGGAGTGGGGTGTATTACTATTATATGAGTGGTAGGTTTGAAGGGGATTGGGTGGACGGCAGGTATGATGGCTATGGGGTTGAAACGTGGGCAAGGGGTAGCAGATACAGAGGGCAGTATAGGCAGGGTCTTAGGCACGGTTTTGGGGTGTATCGGTTTTATACAGGGGATGTTTATGCTGGGGAATGGTCTAGTGGACAGAGTCATGGTTGTGGGATCCACACTTGTGAGGATGGTAGTCGATATGTGGGAGAGTTTAAGTGGGGTGTTAAACATGGTCTTGGGCGCTACCACTTCAGGTAATAGTTAGTCATGTTGCTTTTCTTCATATATTTTGCCACATTTATTATTTGTCGCGTTTAAATTTATATTTAGTTAGCAAGTTTGGAAATTATGTATTGAGTTCATGTATTTGGTGGCACAAACTTATCTAACCATGATACATAGGAAGAAATGTGCATCTTTATTTCCTCATCATTTAGGGAGTGCTTCAAGGATCTGTTAGATATACTGACATTTGGTTAACTTGCAATATCCATTTGTCTGTGTTCTATCTTGTGTCTTCTGGAGATAACTTTCCTCGCTTGTGCACTCTGCAGAGCTTAATTGCTTTTATGAGAACGCTTGTTGATGTGAGATTTTCTTGCTTTAGCTTTCCTATTATGCTATGATGCTTAAGTTAGATATGTAGAAGTCAAAATGTGTGGTACTGCCCTCGGTTTCAATTTACAGTTTGTTGTATGTATGGTATGAGGTTGAGTGTTCTGTAGCTGAAAACGTCATCAACAAAATAATGTCATGAGTTGCCTAATTATTGATCAGTGAAAAATTATTGATGATTTAATGCGTAGAGTTATTCTAAAATATTTGGATTATGTTTCTGACTCTGTAATTGCTGCTTACAGGAATGGGGATAGATATGCTGGTGAATATTTTGCTGATAAGATGCATGGATTTGGAGTATACTATTTTGCAAATGGGCATCGTTATGAGGGGGGTTGGCATGAAGGTAGAAGACAGGGACTTGGTATCTACACTTTCAGAAACGCTGAAACTCAGTCGGGTCATTGGCAAAACGGAATTCTCGATGTCCCCAGCACGCAAAGCACCGTCTTTCCTGTTTCTCCTGTTGCTGTGAACCACTCCAAAGTGCTTAATGCTGTCCAGGTAAACTTTTTCCACTTTTTTTTTTGTCTGAATTAGCACAAAAATGTTTTGTTGATAAGTTTTATGCTAGTATTTCAGTTTACCCCATGAATTGCAGAAAGTTTCCGGCTTGGCATGCTGAATTAATTCTTTCCACTTTTGTTGAGAAAAAAATTATGCGAGGATGATGGCTTGGAATACGAGGTGTTATTGGCTGACCTTTGTACGGTCTTCTGAAGCAATTAATTTCTATCCTTTTTACCAGGAAGCTCGACTGGCGGCAGAGAAAGCATATGAGGTGGCAAAGGTGGACGAGAGAGTCAACCGAGCAGTTGCAGCAGCCAACCGAGCCGCTAATGCCGCTAGAGTTGCGGCTGTGAAGGCCGTGCAAAAGCAAATGCATCACAGGAGCAATAGCGACGGGATCCCAATTCCTATTGTGCGATAAAGCTTGCAAATTTAAATATCACAACTCAAAAAAGGCCTTTTAGCAGAAAAATAGATAGCACCTTTAATCTTGAGAATTTCCATTTAGCGTAGTGTGGTTTTAGTCGGAAGCTGAATTTTCGTGCAGCCATGCTAGAACCTCCTTGCTATCCCTCTATGTTCATATAGCCCTTTTTGTTTTTTCCCTTTCCTTTTTTTTATTTTGTATAAATTTTGAAATAGGTATATGAACTAGTGCTGGTAGCCAGGGAACCCCCAACCCCATCCAGCCCCCTTGTATGTGAAGAAATGATGATGACTTGTGAGAAAATTGAGATTAAGTAATGTTATATCTCGTCCCAGTTGTGTTCTTTGGCTCTTTTAATTAGTCGTATTTCACACCAAGATCCTAGTAACTCAAGTAGTACCAATGTTGTACTGTTTTCTGAGAATAATTATAATTATTTTTGCAAAATATTACACAAGTGTTACGTAGAAGATGCGAACACATATATTAGCCCACATTGAATAGGTGGTAGCTATTAACAATCACTTTCAGTCTGCTGCATAGAAAAATCTTCAGTCGGTAACACATTATTTTAATTAGTGAATATTGACTCTGCTCCACAATAAGTGATCATTTGTGCAAAAACTTTGATTTTAGCAGTTGAACTATACTATGTAGAACTTTGAAGAGCTTGGCCAAGCGCAGTCGTACAAATTAGTGTTAGTAGATATTGAAATGGTACTTGCTATTGATATGGGTGCAATTTCAAATGCCTATAATATGCAGAAAAGTTTGCCAGTCATCTGCTACTTCCACGCTCAAAAAGTAAAATTTTCCCATCCCTCTTCCCCTCTGTTTCCCTTTAGTATTTGCTTTTCAAAACGAAACAAAAGAATAAAAGAAAAATGTAGAAATAGGCTACTTCCACCCACAGCATGCAAAACCGAAAGAGGCATAATTTGAGCAGTACAAATTGTGATGTATCTCAGTCGAAAAGACATTATCTGAATGACAAACACAATATATTGGCTTAACAGTCTCACAGGTCACTAACGGTTACTCCAAATGTTAATATCAATTCCAAAAGGACCAATTTGCCAATAACAAAATTCACTGACTTTTAATTCTCTGTCTGCTCCCTTAGCCTTCGGATGGTGCTCCTCACCGTGACAGCACTCGCTGTGCTGCAAACACAGAACAAAAACAAATTTAGCTACATTTCAACTGAGAAAAGAAACATAACAAAATTAAGTGGGCATTGAAGAAAGATGATTACTTCAAGGTGTAGGCACCACCAGCTTTCACTTTGCCACAGTCCTTGCATCCCCAGATGCCGACAGCTTTCCTCTTCACTGCATACTGATTAAAGAGCCATTCATTCAGGAAAACAAAATGTATAAAAATAATGGAAAAGTCACCACTGTACAAAACCACCAATCACGATATAAGATACTGGTCACTTTGCTTCATACCTTGCCACAGAATTCACAGAAGTACTTGCTGTGCTGACTGACTTCCATCTTCTTAATCTGCTTCCTCAAACTAGCACCATAACGGGTGCCTAAAACGTAAAGAGATCGAGTATAGGAAATCAAAAGAAATTTTATAAACCAATCAAGTCAATTGACCTTTTTCTGTTGTCAACACGAATATGTTACAAGGTGATCAAAAGAGAAGACTGAAACGAAATGCCACTTACCATATTTCCCAACAATACCAACCTTCTTGGTTCTCTTGGCCTGCAAAGAATAAAAAGTTCCAACAATCATACAAGAGAATCGAAAGAAAACACACAAACACACACACGCACACACAAAAAAAATTACATTTCTTCTTAAATAATCAACAACCCTCATATAGTAAATCTGAAAAAGTGGCAGCCCAAGTTATCAGCATTCCATGAAAAGAGAATTTAGCACAACTGCTTCACAAGGAGCATGACTAACTTCTAAAAATGATCATCTTTTCATTAGTTAAAGTTCCTCAGCTATGCTAAATCTAATTAGCTGATAACCTGCTGGAATATAACCATAGCTGAGTAAAGATAAATAAAATAGAATAGGACTAATCATTCTCGAAACATTTACATTAATCAGATCCATGAAAAAAGATAAAAACATTAAATTAATTTCTAATTTATAAAAATTGTCAATACAATACTCATGAAAATATACTTCCACGTCAACATTGGTGTCATTAACTTATCGCTGATTCAATAAAACTACAGCACAAACAGATGAAAATGGCAGAAGTCCCAAAGCTTTGCCAAACATTTTTCAGATATACGATAAACTTAGAGTTAGTAGCAGATTCAATGCCATAGTCCACTGTATAATGAAATATGTAAGAGATGGAGAAAGAATACCATCGGAAATGGGCGTTAGCAGGCGGCGCGACGAGTATGCAGCTTAGCAAACCCTAGTTTCAGCTCTGGAGCGAGACCGGCAATTGTCGCTGGTTTTTTATTCTATATCTCATAAATAGTAGTGAAAATTGCACTGACCTCCCTAAACTTCTTGCATATTTTAAATACACCCCAAATTAGATGGCTCTATTTTTTTTTTTTTAATCTTGTATATTTAAAATGGATTAAATCTTTTAAAATCCCGAGATATTTATTTAAGATTAAAATTTGTTTTAGAAAAATTGAGTTATTCAATTTCTTTATCAATAGTTATGTTGTTTTTAAAGTTTTAAAGCAGTACATCTGAAAATATAAAAAACAGTGTTGGTGACAATGATTATCTTTATTCCATATCAGTTTTGCTATAAAGTCAAAAGTTGTTACATAGTGGAGTGAACTTTTTATATACAACATACCATACTATATGTTTAACTAAATAATACTAATAATGTTATTAATATAGCAAAACTGCATTCCATATTATATACTTTTTAAATTAATTAGTGAAGTTTTGAAAGAATTATTTAAAATTCCATATTATATACTTTTTTAAATTAATTAACACTTTTTTAAATTAATTAACAGTGAAGTTTTGAAAGAATTATTTAAAATAAGAACTCCTTTTCCAAAGTTGTTATAGGAACGTTCAAGCAGCATAAAACGGGTAAAGTCCTAACTTCTCCACATCCAAATCCAAATTCAATTAATAAACATAGAAATCCAACATTCAACAAAGTTTGCCTACGCGCAACGCAAACACTCTGTTAAAAACCGATTATACCCTTAGCCGCCCCTCGAATTCTCCATCTCTACCAACGATGTTCATGCTGGTCAACTGCTCCCATTGCCGCACGCCGTTGCAGCTGCCGCCGGGGGCCAAATCCATCCGATGCGCTATTTGCAAGGCCATCACGCAGATAGCCGATCCACGCCACGCGCCGCCACCGCCGTCTCCCGGGCCGCCCGCCCCGCCCTCTCCCTACACCCACGCGCCGCCTGGACCCCCGCCCAACTCCCACGGCCGAAAAAAAGCTGTGATCGTCGGAGTATCGTATAGATACTCCCGCCACGAGCTGAAAGGATGCATCAACGACGCTAAATGCATGAGACATCTTTTAATCAACAAGTTCCGCTTCCCGGAGTCTTCAATTCTCATGCTAACTGGTAATAGGCCTGTTTATGCTGTTATTTTCATGATGATTTTTGTGAATTACATACATAATTGTGGGAATACGAATCAGTGGTAAGTTAACTGGATGGGGGCACAAATTTGTTTGTTTATTTTGCCTTTTTGTGCGTCTAATCTCGGTTTAATTTTATTGATGCTGAGGAGTTAGGACTGTAAAAGTAGGGGCAAAAAATTTTAGAAACCTAACTGGTATAATGTGAAAAGCTCTCAACTTGAAATTTATGAAAACGAACAGAAAGGAAGAAATCTTCAGAATACCTAATTTCAGTGATGCATTTAGCTGACACCTGATCAGGTACTGGTTACACACTATTTTGTAGCAACTCGTTTTAATGGTTCGTTTGTATAAGGAAAAGAACTAATTGGGCTCACGTTAATTGTGTACTAGAACCTTAGCTGAATGCTGAACTTATAGATTGTGATGTTTTCTCGTTCTGTAGCACCTGCTTATGGAGTTTAGTTTTACCAACCTGGACTTGTGTTCTTTACCATCGGCTTATTCTATGCATATTCAATCTGTCAAAGGGCCGATCTTCAGAGCCTTTATTATATATTTCAACAATGTAGAACGTGCGATCCTTTCCTTTCTATTTTAATGGTTTGTGTAATTACATTTTGCTATCGCCTTACCAAAGGAAATAAAGGAACAGTAAGATTGTAGAGCCTTACCAAAGGAAATAAAGGAAATAGAGTTTGTGTAATTCTTGTTTTGTAGCAATAAGCAAGTAGTAGCGCTCGAGTATATTACTTTGCGTAACTTTTTTTTTTTTGGAAATTTATTTCATGAATCAAACAAATAAATGTATTTTGCCCCCCTTCTGGTGTTGGAAAGTTATTTTGGTAAAGATGGTACTTCTTAATGGCTGACTTTTGTTGGTGAACTCAAATACAGAAGAAGAAACTGATCCCTACAGAATCCCGACCAAGCAAAATATGCGGATGGCAATGTTTTGGCTTGTACAAGGATGTCAGGCTGGGGACTCCTTGGTGTTCCATTATTCTGGTCACGGTTCTCGGCAAAGGAACTACAATGGAGATGAAGTAGATGGATATGACGAAACCTTGTGTCCTCTCGATTTTGAAACACAGGGTATGATTGTGGATGATGAAATTAATGCATCTATTGTCAGGCCTATACCCCATGGTGCCAAGCTTCACGCCATAATAGATGCCTGCCATAGCGGAACAGTTCTTGATTTACCATTTCTTTGCAGAATGAACAGGTGAATCTAAAATTTTTCTCTTGATTAGTTTGAAAATTGAGCATTCTTATATCTTATGTTCTTGGAAGTTGGAATCGGGTCGTTGCTAGTTTCTCGAAACACAAATAAATTGCCTTACTAAATGAAGTTTCTCAAAGGTGGCAATGGTATGATCTCTAGGGTAGCTATTTAAGAAAAAGAATATCTACCGGTCACGTCTATATGACTATCAGGTCATCATTTGTTCAAAAGCAATCTATTATTCACTTGTTTGGTGAGTAGAAGCATCTTTCCTTTATTTGTGTTTGGTATTTCTTTTCTTGTGTTTACTTCCTGATAGTGGACATTAAATATTTGTACTTGAAACGAAGTTGAGATCCTGTTGTAAACGGCAAATGGTTTTCGAGACTGTTAAACGTGATTTCATTAAGAGTCAGTTGAACATAAATGCATCAGCGATAATGACGTTCAAAGAAGGTCTACTACTTTCGTCATAATGTGTATTCTATAGTATGTTGGACTAATTGGCTTCATCAATCATTATGGTATGGACAAACTGGAAATAGGAGTGGACAGTATATATGGGAGGATCATCGTCCTCGATCGGGTGTGTGGAAAGGATCAAACGGTGGTGAAGTAATTTCCTTCAGTGGCTGTGATGACGATCAGACCTCGGCCGATACATCTGTAAGCTCGTTTCTAATATTTTAATCACAGTGGTCAAATTGAGGTGGGGTGGGGTTAACTGGTGTGTTGTGTAGGCTCTATCAAAAATCACCTCAACTGGTGCCATGACTTTCTGTTTTATCCAAGCCATTGAGCGTGGGCATGGGACCACATACGGGAGTATACTAACAGCCATGAGAAGTGCAATTCGGGATGCGGGCAGTTCGGGTCCTGACCTTGGACTTGGAGGCGGTGGTGTCGTCACATCACTTTTGACTATGCTTCTTACTGGCGGTAGTGTGAGCGCTGGTGGCCTTAGACAGGTGTTTCTTTTATGTTTTCATATTCCTCTGTGAAATTTGTTTGCTTTTGCTGTAGAGATCACAAAGATTACTATGTTTCTCATTTGTATTGCACTTCCGCTCAATGGTAACTTGAAACATAGCTGATTCATCATCATCCTTGTACATTGGTGAACAAGATTTTCAAGTTTGAGTTCTGAATTTATCTTTTTGTTTGTTCTGGTCACAGGAACCCCAACTCACTGCTTGTGAACCTTTCGACGTGTATGCAAAGCCATTTTCTCTATAATCGCCCTTTCACGCATAAATATTTGGATATTATGTTTTTACCATTACTTACGCTGTAATTTTTTATTTTGCTTGTGGGAACTGTGTTTCTCGAATGTGCAGTTGTTTGTAAGGATTTTTTATGTCTAGAGACGAGGTGTGCCAGACCATGTGAGCTTGATGATTGAGTGCTTATTTTTTATATTATTATACATAGACTGAGAATGGCGAGATGAGACATGATCCATATATCAAAATATATATCTCATTAATTTCTTAGCTGCCTGTTGGTTTTAATCATTTTCCTTTTTTAATATTTATGATTAGCAAATTTTTTTACTGTAAACGAGAATAATTTTAGAAATGACAATGAGAAAATGTGTTATTTTTTGTAGTGAATTTCAAATTATGGATTACTGATAGTGCAGTTTGATATTGGAGTGTGGTGCCTACACCTAATGGACTTCAACCAACAAGAATAACTGAGTTGGATCAATATGGCCATTATCCAAGTCATCATCAGATTATTTCTAACTTTTGCCCTAACACTTTCTAATAGTAGATTTTTTCCTTATAATCATCAAGTGTTGAAGAAGATAACAGCGAAAAACATATAAAGGACATTTCAACAAAGCCATCAATCTCAAAGGTGAGTATAGGGTTCATATCTCAATTCTCATTGCATTCCAATTACAGGACTCTTGATCCTCTCCGTATAGACATCAGATGCCATTTTTCAGTTCAGAAAGAAAGAAGTAGAGCAGGAAAGAAAAGGATCAGAAAAAAACATCAAGAGCTATAAGAAAAATCAAAACTATTGGGTGGAACTTCCTTCTCACGACCCCCAGATCCTTTCTTTTTACAGATCAAATTCGATTTTTTTCCCTTTTTTTTTAAAAAAAGATAAAAAAGAAAAATGTTATTTGGAGTTTAGGCCACAGCCACAGTCGTCCCTGTCCTAACAGCTTTCTTGGTGTCGGATTCTTTAGATGCAGATTCAGAATTAAGCTGTCTCACTGATTTAGATTTCTTCGAAGAGGAAAGTTTCCATCTTTTTTCGGTGGCTTCATCCATTTCGATCTGTTCCTGCCGGCACTCTTGGCTACAAAACGGTGTGTTCCCTCTGCAAATTACATATGCAAACATCACAAAACACTACTATTAGTTTCAAGATCATATATATTCATTCCAAAGAGAAAAAACGAAAACACAGGAACTTGATGAGGTAGTTAATTAGTAATTACTAACCTGTACATGAATATGTCATGGTTTTGGCTGAGTGGTCTGTTACAAAGGTAGCAAGAATCAAGGAAATGGGGTTGGTAGTTCTCATATAATTCACAACCGGCGTAGTAAGCAGCTGAGCCCATCTGAAATATTTTCCGGCGGAGCAAGTGGTGGCACACGGTGGTTGTGTATACTTATATAGGCTGAGAAAGCTGTGAGTGTGGGGGGAAGCAAAGAAATTGGGTTCAGTGGGGTTATATAGGGAAAAAACTGGTTATGGGGATGAGGGTTTCATTACGGTGTCCTAGGACTACGTAGACCCACCAATCAAGTTATTCACAAGTTGGAAAGCACGGGTTTTATTGGTTGAGACATGGTGGCTTTTGAGATACACGAATGTTGTAGTGTAATGCTCATGATCAAATGGTACATTAGAAAAGCCACTGCCTGCTTATTTATTAATTTAATTTAATTTAATTAACTGCTTTATATCATTCTTGAGTTCAGTGTATACCATTAGTAGAATATTTTTGGGTATGTGCACATACCAACATGCTTGCATACAAATTCAACCCAAACAAATCCAATCATTTTTAATTCAACTATTTTTTTAACTCAACTAGTACAGAGCCCGTGCGATGCGCGGGGTGTATAATTTTAAGGGAGAAAATTACAAATTTGGTCCCAGAACTTTTGCTGTTTCCCACATTTGGTCCCAGGTACGCCAATTATGGTCCTTTTTAAATTTTCGTCGCCAAAATGGTCCCACTCCGTCAAGACTTAACGGTCAACGTTTATAACCTGAGACCAAATGTGGGAAACAACAAAAGTATTTGGACCAAATTTGTAATTTTTGTCAAAGAGTAAGTGATAAAAATTATTTAAATTATTTTTATTAGAAACATTTTTTTAAAAAGATTTTAGTAAATGTTAAAAAGGTATATTACCATTATTTCCTAACAATACATTTAGTTTATTTTTTAATAAATTATAAAAGATAAATATAACTAACATACAATTCTTTCACATTTTTTTAACTAAAATTAAAGTTTAACTTGATTTTTTTACGTAAAAATAATTATTTAATTGGGTAACTTAACAAAAGATGTATAAAATAATTTTATTAAGTAGTTCATAATAAATGAGATGGAAAAAAAAAATATGATATATTTTACTATAAATAAGTGAGAGCAAATGTCTATTTTCACTTAATTTAATGCCAAATTTTGTTTTATTATGCTTAAAATTGAAATTTTTTATGTAGATGTAATTTGCATAAAAATAGATTTTTCAATTTATAGTTGTCAAAATCAAATTGATAAATAAAAAATTATTAAAATAAAAGACAGTAATAAAAAAAAATGTTTAGATTGGTTTTTTTTTTTTAATTCGTATTATTTAATAAAGTTTGTAAGGATATATATAAATTATCACATTATACTAATATTTAAAAGTGTAGAAAAATTAGTATTATTGTAAACATACTCACATTTTTTCTTATTTTGATAAATTGGATTATGTCTTTTGGTTTGCTTTATTTAATTAAAATAATATTATTTCTAAATATTCTTTAATTTAAATAATATTCAAATAATTGCCAATATTTTTTAAGTAATGACGGTAAAAATATTAGAAAATAAAATAAATACCACACAATTAGCAATTATATCGTTTACTTTTCCACCCAAAATTAAAATTTATCAACGCCTTTACTTTTCCACCCGATATTTATTTTTATAAAATTATTTTTAATATTTATTTCTCCCATCATATTCATAGTAAATTAATTTTATTATGTCAGCTTTGAGTGAATGAGAGAGACTTGAAGAACTTGAAGAACTCATTTTTTTTTTGAAAAATTGCAAAATTGGTCCCAAAATTGCAAAATTGGTCCAATCTAACGTCCTCACATGAGCCCCGTCAATCTTGACGGACGTGGGACCATTTTCTAAACGAAAATTCAAAAAGGACCATAATTGGAGTGTCTGGGACCAAATGTGGAAAACAAAAAAAGTTTTGGGACCAAATTTGCAATTTTCTCAATTTTAAGGCTATTTATCCAGGCTTATAATTATATACATGAATAAAGAAAAATGTACGGGATATATATAGTACGTGAACCGTGCAAAGCACGAGATATATTTATTTGGAGAATATTATATTATAAGATGCAATATTCAATAAAAGTTTATAATACGCAAGAAAATTGTACAATGTTCAATAAATGTTTTAAATATTTAAGTGCAGTCTTAAAATCTCTTGTACATTAAGACTACTGACAAAATACTATTTTACTCAATGACTTTCCTTTCCTTGTAGCCAAATTGTGAATGTGATTTGAGGAGTACAACAAATCGATATATAGCTGACTTGCTTTTTTCATTGTAGTTTTTTTTTTCTTTTCTTTTTTATAATGAATTTAAAGATATTCTAAAATATAGCAAAAATTAATTTTTTTATTAGAATTAGGAATTTTACTAAATATAAACTCTCAATCTATGGTGTTAATCAACGTTTAAGTCTAAAAAATTAAGAATTTTTACCTCTTTTAATCAACGTTTAAGTCTAAAAAATAATAGAGTTATTATAAGTTTTTTTTCTACATCTTTTAAAACATTAAATATGAGCATGTTAGGGCTAGCTTGTAAAATAATTAATATATTATCTCACTAAAACATTTATACTAATATTATTTTAATTTTAGCATATACATTTATCCTTTGATATAAGAGAAAGTAATAGTTTTACTTATTGTTGTTCATCATATAATATTTAATTATTATTTTATTATATAATAAAAAAAAATATTGTTAAATAGTGTAGTAGAATTGTTATAAAATTATATGATTTTTTTTTACAATATGGATTTAATATTTTTTTTGATTTGATAATATAAAAAAATCTATACTTAACTTTGACAAATGAAACAAATAAATACTTTAGTAAGTATTTAATGTATATACTAAATAGGAATATATTTGGTATAATCAAATACCAAATATAATCAAATAAGTCAAAGTGTACATTTTTATTTGGTATTTGATTTTTTTATTATTAAAATCATTTTATTATACTAACCTTTTAAAATAAAATAAATAAATAAATCAATTAGATAAATAAAATATTATAATACAAAATAGTAATGGCATTTAATGCAGTTGACTTTTCTGGATAGTAAATGTAGTAAATAGAATCTCCTTTTATATAAGTATAGATTGTATAATACGGAAATAGTAATGCAATTTATAGTTATTTATGATAAAAGTTTACATCCTCATATCATAGTTATTTCAATATTTTATCAATCTTTCTTTATAGATAACATATAAGCTAACCTACTGGAAGGATCATAAGATAGAACAATGAAGTTCATAATAAATTGATAGCAAAAGTGTTCAGGGACATGAAAAGGTAAAGATTGAGCATAAACACATGTTTATATCTAATTAAATAATTAAATAAGTTATAAGAAATACCTACATTCTAATACTGTTCATGTGTTTATATTATTTATTATTTATATTTTATCAATAAAACATCAATAAAACAAAAACTCCAATGAACTCATTAATTAATATAGATCTATTTTGATTGAAAGTCTGACATAAATTTATACATCGGTGCGAGGACGATGATACAAAAAAGAGACTGCCTCTACATTCTTCACAATACATCAGTCTTCACCGTACCTCATTCTTCACAGTACAGGTAATGTTTATTTGTTCATGGGACAGGTAAAGTTTCATTATTTACAGGTAAAGTTTCAAATAAGAATCAATGGTGAATCTCAATTACCTTCTTCGATTATTTGATGTTTATCTCGCTCTGTTGAACCGCATAGTTGTTTGTGTGTGTGATCTGCTTTTTTTCCACATTTGTTCTCCTTCATATTGTATTGCAATCCGTGGAAGCCTTTCAGAAAAATAAATTTTTCACAGTTATACCTAATCAATTTTTGAAAACATGTTTTTCTTAAGGATGAATGAACTCAACTACATACAAATATGCTGTATTTTGAATCATGTGAAAAAGAATATTGAGAATATTCGTACATGTAGAAGTTCACTCGCAAGAAATGCCGAAGTCAAATTGTAGTTGTGAGATAATGATAATATTTATAAGAGATTTTAGGTGTTTGACCGTATCTTTAGGAGTATATCCGATTTAGTTCTGATTTTTTGGTAACTAAATATATGTTTTAGATAAGTAATTATGTACATTAGAAAAGTAAATCACTCTACGTAATTAGTATCAAAATCAAGATGATATTAAGTATACTTCCCAAAAATAATCCATTCGATATTTCTCAAATAATTCCGTGCTTCGACAACGAATGATGATATTTATGCGTGAACCCTACAATAAAAAGTTATACAATTAACGAAAATAATTAATATAATTATGTATGTTTCATAAAACAATTCGTATGCTTACATTTTCATCATGAAACAGGATTTGAATATTGTTCTTGGACTGCAGCTCGAAATTTGATTCAAGAATACTGACTACTCTTAATCTCAAATACGGTTGGGTGGCCCTATTGATGTCCGCGAGTGTACCACAGAACCGTGCCATTTCTTTTTTTCTGTGTATCGATGTATTGATCTTGTTTTCTCTCTGTATTTCGATGTATCTGTATTTCGATGTATCTGTATGTAATTTTTTTTTTTTGCACCTTTGGAGAAGGGGATAAACCAATGTATTTATATAGGTAGGATTTATTTATTTTTTTTAGAATAGGATATCTACAAATAAGTGCCATAAAAATCTGACCAAATCTTATCATCATCCCATAATAACTGCACACCATATAAAGGTGCTGAAATCACTCCTATTAAAATTGACATCCAAAATTTCGGAATTCTATGGGCGGGAGTTTGCTCAATTTTCGCCAAAAAATTGCACTCATTACAATAAAAATTTAGGCGGGAAATGAAATATTTTTTTTCCTGATTTTCCACATGATTTTTTCAAAAAACTATCATTCCCTCTTTATATATTAATAGATACCACTATTATCAATATAATTAAATAATATCTAAAAAATTATTGAAAAGAGAATCATTGGCCTTGTTTGGTAATTAGTGGTTAGCTTTAGCGGATAGCGGATTGTAATAATTGTTTTGACCAGCTGTTAGTATTAACTGTTCTGACCGGCTGATAGTATTAATGGTTTTTAAAAAAATGTTTGGTTAAGTAGCTGATTGATTTGTAAAATTGTTTTGTTTTATTAATTACTAACATTTTAACTACTTTTATCAATATTTATATACATTATTTTTTTTAAATAATTGTAGTTATAATTACTTAAATATCAAATCATTTATATTTTTAATAGTTAATAGAGATAATAAGTGCTAGTTTATTGCTTTCTTTTTCTTAATAAATTTATGTTAACGTCCAAAACAATTTTTGTGCTTCATTTTTATTTTTAGTTTTTCCAAACATAAGAAAGCAATAAATATCTTAATATTGGTAAGCAAAAAGCTGAGTCCAAACGCTACTACATGTAGCGGTTTCTAAATTAGCTGTTTGGAGAAAAAAAGTCAAGTTCCCAAACATAATTATTGGTTGGTCAACAAGTCAAAAAAGTTGTAAATGGTCAAACAGCTAAAAATTGGCTGAAACGTCAATTACCAAACATAATCTATATCTATATCTATATATATATAAAGAGGTTGTTGGAAAAATACATTAATAGAAAATTTGACCAAATAAATATAATGTTTGACTTACGATTAATGAAAAGTTCAAAAAAACACATGTGAATCTTTAGTAACAAAATCTAAATCCTATTTTTTTGGTAACAAATTTAGAGATTTTTATGGAAAAATTTGAATCCCATTTTTTTCGTATCATATTTTATTTTTTACCAAAATTTAAATCATATTTTTTTTTTGTAACAAATTTAGAGATTCTTATGCAAAAAAATATGTCAATTATTTATGAAAACAATTCTAAATACAAATTAATTCAAAAACCGTGCAAACTGGATACAAATTTAAGAAGCAAATAGTTGTATAATTCTTAATCAATTCTTTCAATCTTATTGAATAATTTTTTCTTTCAAAAAAATTGTGTAAATTGGATAAAGCAACGTGCAATTTTTATTTTAAATTAAAACTGATATTTGGACGGGATGTACATTCAAAATTGTGTCCACATTTTTTGGTAACAAAAACGGTTCATCATTGATATTTAAAGTCACCTTATCCAATTATTTAGGAAAAATTGTGTGCAACTTTTCAAAATTTAAATACATCGATTTTTCTGGATTCTTATGTTTTTTCTTAACCATGTTTTACCGAGATTTTGGTAAGTTCATATCATTTTTTTTTGTTAAGTTCATATCATTTTCTTTAGGAAAGAGATAGTTTCATAAACATTAACAATTTATTTCAATTTTTATTAGAATTATTTTCAATTCAATTTTTTTGGTACAAAAATTGGTGCAATGTTAGGAAAATTCGGTTGCATTTTTAGGAAAAATTGATGATTTTTTTTTATTTGGTTTAAAAAAAAATTCGGATCAATCTGTTTGATAAAAAAATTGGTTTATTGGTAGGAAAATTGGTTTCATTTCAAGGAGTAACTAATAATTCTTTTCAATTTTTCTTAATTGAAATTTAGAATTAGATTTAAAATAAATAATGGGTGAAAATCTCTAAAAAAATCTACTTTTTTTCTACTTTAATTTTGTTTAATAAATAAGATTCTTTAAATTTTTTAAAACTTATTAACTACTAACTAATAATATGCAATTTTGGATAAATTCGAACACCTATGTAGTACTTTACGTGTCAAAGAATCAAATCAATAATGTTGTACATAAGGAAGTTTTTAATAACATAAAAATTTTATTTTCATGAAATTTTTAATGGTATGAAACAATTTAAATACAAAAATACCTTTTAAAAAATAAATGGGTAATAAATGCTCCCGTGTATCGCACGGAATTTGTACTAGTAGTAATAATAATAATAATTTATTTTATACATATTATTTACACTCTATAGGAATAAAACAAACTCCTGTGTAGGATAAATACTTAAAACAAAATTAATTGAAAGAAAAACAATGCGATTGAAAGTATTTTTAATTTACTAAATAAAGGGATTGATTTTGAGTGTGAATAGATCTTAAGTCACAACGTAATGTAAAAATAGTAAAATAATGATTGATAATTAAAAATATAATGATATACAATAAATTTTATTGAAATTGTACAATAATAATATTTAATTATATTATTAATATTGAAAAGAATAAAATAATATTAAATTTGAGTTAAATTTTAAGTTAAAATTTTGTCCAGTTACAAAATATTATCTGTCAAGTCAATTTTTTTTTTTTAAAAAAAAAAAAACTTTATCCAATTAAAAATCGGGTGGGCGTAATGAAATAGGAGCCCATTGAATTACAAAAAAGCAGAATTAAAACCCACACCATAAAACCACAATCAAAATTCCATAATTGTCACTTAAGTCCCTACACCTTTTGTCATTTTCCTTTCAAACCACATCGGAGCTGAGTAGGACTTGGGCCCACGCAGCATATGGTGTGATACAATTGCGGGTCCCACTGTAATTATAATCGTAGGCCCAAGTGGCAGGTGGACATATGCGAGCTCATATTCCGAGCCCATTGTCTCCCGCTACCCGTTGCCCGCGGGCAGTAGAAAATATTCGGGGAAGTTCATTTTTTATTCATTTATTTGAAGAGAATTAAATAAAGGGTTGTTTGCTACACGTGTGAGGATCAAGGCGCTACCAGCGAAGCACGTAATAATAGCCCACAGCGGCTACGTGTACTTCCACTTTCAAGAGTGAGGAAAATTACGTTGACATTTGATATGCATAATTTTCATAAAAATTGTAATTGAATTATAAAATGTTTTTACAGGATATCATATATTTTACTTATTAAAAATGTAATTTAAAATAAATGTTAATTATTTATGTAAATTAATAATTTATCGTTCACGTTTTTGCCATAACTGGTGCTTTAAATTGGATTTTCAATTTTCAGTTTATTTATGTTAAAACTCTAAAACATAGAAATCCTTTCTCGTGACAATAAAACTAATGTGAAATAGTTAGTTCGTACGAAATCACACAGAATTAATTAGATTTAGGACAAGTAATGTGCAATTATTATCAACAGCTCAACATGTTAATTATCAAAGAACAATTATTCGTATTTTGGTTTGTGGCTAATCAAACACATCGTAAACAACACGTATGTTTGTTTTGGCCTTTGTCCAGATGGCGTGGACCATCAGAACTCCATTGTGTGTGATTATAAAGTACTTTTTTTTTTCCTTACTTGTTTTTCTCAATTTTTAATGATTGGTGATGCTTCTCATACGTGACATTACATGATTGTCATAACTCATTAGTCATAAGTACAACTTTTGACATTCACATGATTTTTTTCTTTCAAAACTCAACTCGACTGAAAACATACAAATTTGAAAATTAATTGTGTGATATCATTGATTTTGATGAATTGCACACAATTATTATGAGTTATGAACTTGCAATTTTTTTTTGCCCAAATTAATGAATGTTGATATCAATTAATTTTAAAAAGGATTGGTATTAAAATAAAACTCAAATTTTTAAAAGCATTATTTGTATCAAAATTGAGCAATTTGGTTACCAAAATTAAGTATCCGTGATTAAAGACATATTTAAATGTTTCTCATTTAATAAATAAAAAATAAAACAAAACTTGCCCGAAATGATATGCAATTAATGTTGCCAGATTTTTCTTCTTACTATTTTTAATAAATAGTAATTCTTATTATATATATATAGATATAGATAATTCAACAACTTGTTTACTATTTTTTATTGTATCAAATTCTGCCTTAATCTATCTTAGATAGCTAGAACTTGGAAATGTAGTTAGCTTGAAAAGCCCACCAAAATGATTATGACATTCCACAAAACTGTTGACGAGAAAATGTATCCAACAGATGGGGTATGCAAACATAATTTTGAAAAACAAATAAATATTGTGTTTTAAGTACATAATTAGATGAATGCACAATATATTAGTTGGACTCTACTATTAATTTCAATCTTCTTTTAATTAAAAAAATAACTTTGTATTAGTAACTCAACAATTAACAATCAAACCTGAGAGACTGAATATAAAGCGATTAGAATGTCCAATGCTATACTTATATGGTCTTCAACTTCATCAGTATCAGTTGAAGCCGAATCAAGCTTTTGAGAGAGTTTCGCAATCGCTTTCTGGACGGAATGAGGGTCGACATGCTCAAATCAAAGTATATCAATAATGGAATCCAAATGCAAAAACGCTAAACCACTGCTGATCCGAATACAAGGGTAAGGCCTACCAAATGTTTCAGTAGTTGATCATATAGGAGAATGTAATGCATATCATCTTGGAAACTCAAGTCTTACTTTAGAGAGGCACTTGCTCCTGTGAAATCTTAATCTTACTGTTATTACCCAACATCAATAAAAAAAATAGGCTGCTTCAACTGAAAAACTCATCTTGACATAATAATTTTATGAGTGATTGCGGATTGGGAACTGTGGACACCCTCATCAGAAAATTCCAACCGTTAACCTTTAAGCGCAAAAGATACCAATTTGGAGTCGTTGGTTTTGGGCTCGTTAGCAAGTAACTATACAACTCAAGCGGATAAATGGGGACCAAAACTATACAAGGATATCTGAATCAATATTCATAAGTTGATCGTTCAACCATATCTTGAAACTAATGCCGATTGGACTTCAACCATATCTAGAAAATTGAACACCCAACACTAAACAATGACGAAAGCCCAACACTAGAATCAAAAGAACCCTCTGATTGTTCATTTCGTAAGAGTTAGATGCAAAGGCTTAAAAACTTTTTTTACTGCAACTTGTCTAGCTATCCTTCATTCTGCATCCACAGATTTTGAGTTTGTTGCAAAACAATGCCCATTAAGTTATTGTGCAGATATCCACTTGCAGGCATAATGTCGAACAGGAAATGTGCATTACAATACATATACATAGAGCAGACAAAAATTGAATGTTTTCAGAGGAGGAATCAACTAAACAAGCTAAGAGAAGTGATGCTACATACATTACAAAGTAAAATATGTTAGATCAACCTCTTGGATGGAAACGAACAGCTCAATCATTAATCCCAAACCCAAAATAGTGAAAGTACAAGAATCTGGCATGGACTAAGTAGGGGAGACAAACCTGTTCATTGGAGAACTCGGAGGAGACTTGAAAATCATGTTGAAAGTGAGCTTTGAAGCCGTTGATGGCTGCTGCGAGTGCGTTAAGGCCAACGGAGTTTTCGGTGGGTCAGGTCCGACCAATATACGCCTCCAAGACGCCGTAACTAAATCGTTCACCGCGGTCTCGATCGGAACCTCGGAGGTTGAGAAGGGGAAGGAGCGGCGGCGGTGGCGGCAAGGCGGAGATGGCAAATATGGTGAAAAAGAAATGATGCTGGGTGAGAAGGTCCATACCGGCTATTTGGTTAACGTGGGCTTAGATCCATACCGGCTATTTGGGCTTTCATCTATCCACTATAATGGGCTCCATACAAATTAAGTCCATTTGTATACACACTAGTGTGTACCGGTAACCGACCTAAAGTAAAAAGTAATTTATTATAATTCAATTCATGGCGATCATAAGTAGAAAGTTCATATTCTTCAGCCATCGACAAAGAATTTGTTGGACAATACTCAACACAATTACCACAAAATATACAGATTTCAAAACCAATACTGTAAATTAAGTAATCGTGCGATGCACTGGAACAATATTATAAATAGACCTCGAGTTTGAGTCACTCAATGGCGGAAGTGGAAACTACTATTGATCCTATTTAAAAAGAGGAAGAAAAAAAATAATTATAAATTAAAGAGGAGGATAAACAATACTTAATAATTATAAATTAAAGATTCTTTTTTTTCAAATAAATTAAAGATTCAGGATCAAACAATGTAAAAGTATTTTGTATAAGAGAATATAAAAAAATTTGATTACACACCATTTCAAAATTATTATTATACTTTTTTGTATGGTTAGCTTATAATATTTATAAAAATATTAGTAATTAGACCGATGAAAATTAGCTTCTTAAAGTAGATAATGGATTTCTAATAGTAATTATGAATTGATTTTTATTTTATTTTATTTTTTCAAATCTGTATAGTTAAGGGATGAGATTTTTTAAACACGTGAGACGTATGCAATGAGATTTTGTAACAGAAAAGTAGATTTATACTAAAAATAGGAAAAATTGAAAAGATGATTGATTATTCACGAGGTAGTTAATTATAATGGGGCCGTGCATTTAGTTTACAATATTATTCATATGACATGTCTCTCTCTTTAATGCTTCAGCAGAGTTAACATGATCATCACTCATCAGCTGTATTTGTACCACCACTTTTAGATTTTTTATTTTTCCTTGCTCTGCTCTGCATACACGGTATAAAAATTTGACCACCGCTACCTTAAAAAGAACATTTATAATTCTCTTAGGTAAATCATCTAATTTTTTATTTGGTGTAGGTTGCCAAACTCAAATGAAGTAGGCAAAAATGGTCATTAATTTTGAGCTTCAATCGTTGTATACTTGTTTTTAAAAATAGAATTAGTTATGCAAGAATTAATGTTAGTCGTATTTTGAAAAATTGTATAAAAAAAAAAAAATTAGAGATGAAATTTTAGTACATTAATTAAAAAATGTTAGTTGATCATGTAGGTGGCGTGTCACGGCTGGTAGCTGTTACAATATGCGGCGGAGGTACATATATAATTATTAGTTCATAGCTAGTATCTTAAAGAAAAATAAGATTAATTGTTATTTCTCCAAATGCATGGAATTCTCTTTTTGGAGTGGCAGCACTAGTTAAAAAGTTGATCAGCCTTCATTCTCCACCCAAAAGAAAGGACAAAATAAATAAATAAAAAGCAGAATAGCTCAAGCCTTGGGCAAAGGATCAAATCAAAGTATATATAGATTATTATCTGGGTTTCGTTGCTTTTAGAATGCTGAATTTATCTTATATATATGCCTACTTTCCAAAAGCCAAAGTCCCGAAACCAAGTCAAACTAATTTGCTATACTTTTTGGCATTTACCTGTTTTTTTTCGCAGCTATAGCTTCTTATCTACTTCTTCTTTAAAAAAAAAAAAATGAAAAAGAGACAAAATAAGAAGAAATGGAGTTCAAATTGATGAGTTCTTATATATACATACTAATGAAGGTCACGTTTCTCATTTCATCATTTCATGAACGGGAGTTTTTCACTTTAAACCAATGCACTCAATCGGATTTCAGTGAATTGATATTAAATTAGCAAATGAGTCTTATCAAGAAGTTTGACCATAAATTTGCTAAATAATTTGTTTGATAAAAACGTATTTAATTACTTTTTCAAGTCCAAAGCACTAATTCCTAAAAAGTTTAATAGAACAACATAGAGATAATTTGTTAAATAGCAATTACATAAAAAAATTAAAATGGCTATATCCCCTTATATATAATTCTCGATGTGTTGACCCTAAGTGGCAGACTCGAATGTTTCAGGATCTTATGTGACAATTTTTTTATGCTAATTTACTTCCAATCAAAAAATAATTAGGTTTGGAATAGCCATAAATATATTTGATATTTATGGTCTTTTTTGAGAGCATTAATATTATTTTTATTCTAGACGTGATTTGTAAGGAATAATTTTTTTCCCAATATTTTATTTTTCCCCATCTTTTTTTTAAATTATGAAAAAATCACTAACTTAAATTATAATTAGATTTAAAATTAAGTTAATATTTTTTTATTATTAATTTTTTTATACGTAATATATTAAATTAATCATGTTCTGATGAACTTCGATTTGACACATATATTTTACATGCAAAATAAACAAATAATTATATTTATCTTTATAATAAAAATTAAATTACCTATTAATATTAATTAAAAAATAAAATTATTTAAATCAATTTAACTACAAAGTTCTTAAATAATATAATTTAAAAAAAAAATTTAATATAAGATGGTAAGCCGTATAAGCGATGCGTGTTATTTTAAATAAAAATAGTTATTCAAAAAAGTATTTAAAAATTAAAATAATTTTTTTATTATTATTTTTAATTTAAATATAAATTTCTTAACAAACACCCGTGTAATACACGAGTATTATACTATTAGACCATTATTTACCAAATAAAAGTTTAGAAAACCTGTAGTGAAATCAGCTAATCTAGCCTGCCAATATTTTATCTTTATATTCCGCTGATTGGGTAATACTAATTATTCATTTAAATATATATACCATAGTTTTTAAACCCGGCCGGTAATCGACCCGGGTTGGTCCTCGGGTCACCGGGTGATCGATTCAAACGGCGGGTCACCGAGTCAATTGCTGAACTGGATAATTAATTTTAAAATTTTTAAAATTATATATAGAGTATTTTTGTCGTATAAATATACACAAAAGTAACAAACTTAAAAGTTTTGTGTATAAAATTTGTACATTAAAGTGTTAATAACATGTACCTCATGATCAATATACCATATAATCACATATACATAGTTTTTTTAAATATATACGGATCGAATCAATGCCCCGGGTCGGTCGGGTTGGCCGGTTTTGATCGGGTCGTTTGTTGCCGGCTCCAAATAGCCCACCCGGACCGATTCCGGGTCGACCGGGTCCCGGGTCGGCCCACCGACCCGGACCGGTCCGGGTAAAAAAACTATGATTTATACATTAAAACTTTTCCAATGTATCCAGCATAATTAGTTAAACAATTTTATGCAAGAGCAATCATCATGTATTTTAAACAAAAATTTATTCTTACACCACGAAATGTTATATTTTATATTATTTAAAATTTAAAACACTGAATATAAAGAAATGCATATTTGCTAATCATGAATTCAATTAATCCAGGTGGTCATTAATGCGAACTGAGAATTTTAAAGTAAATTAAATTTTATCCTTTATATTTTTGCAGTAGTCTCTAGTGTTTTATTTACCTTTAGGTGATTGGGATTTTCAGTTGAAAATTAGAAAAGAAAATTATAACGAACAGGTGAAAATATTTAATTATAAAACACCTTTCATCACTTATAAATAATTTGGTACTGCATGCAGATCATAAGAGTAAATTTCAAGGCCCTATGAATTAATGAGACAACCCCACAATTGAAAACTGATGTTACAAATTATTCCCTTTAAAAAGTATATGTTGCCTGTTATGATTCGTTCGTAATTATTAATTGACTATATTATAGTTTTATCAGGTTCGGATGACCAACAATTTCATTAATAGAAATATTTTACTAACAATTTTAGTAGAAGATCCTCGGGCAATAAACTTATATGGTATGTTGATTAGATTATTATGGTCAAACCAATCAACCTTCTATATATAACAAATAAACCTTCAATATTCTCTGCTTACTTAAATAACACTAATAGAATTTTATTAATATGGTAGGTTTATTTTTTGTATATAGAAGGTTGGCTCCACTATGAAGCCAACTGTTGGCTTCATAGCAAAACCGCGTGTACTTATAATGCTAAGATATTTTCCCCACATTGATAAAGTGTTTAACAAAAAATTCTCTGGAGCCATGAATGATTTTCTTATGGAGCCATAGCAAAACTGAATGTTTAACATAATTTTTTCCTGTACGAATCATCATTTTTTTTTCTTTTTTTGAATAGTGGATCGTACATATAAATTACGATAATTTTCTTGTGCTAGTATGAATAAAAGTTGTTAATGTACACATAAACCAAAAATACATCATTCCATATCACACAAGTATACATAATATTTTTGGATAATTTGCATTAGTTTATATGGAGACAATAATTTAGCCACAATAATTTTTCATTAATAAGGACAGTTAAGATAATTTAAGCATTGTCCACTAACTATTCAATTATTTAATTATTAAATCAAAATATATTTTATTGTTAAGTAAATTAATAAAGTCAAATATAATAATTAATTTTGGTACATGATATGGTAACTTTAGAGATTTGATGATTTATTTTGTATTATTTATAAAAAAAATACTTAGTTTGTACATTTATATTTTTTTTCTTTTTTAGGAAAATTATGATATAGAATTGTATTCATTGCAGTATAACACGTTGAGAAAACTTTTCACCGCACCACTACATATGTTACAAAATCAATTTTCCACTCCTAAAGTCCTATGCTCCATTTTTTTATTTGTATTTAACTATTTATTATAAAAATCAGTAGTCGCAAGAAGAAAATGGGAGAACTGAAAACACTCTTAAGTCTTAACAAAACCAAAATGGATTAGACTAAACCAAAAATATGTGAACAGAAACACTAATTAGAATATGCTCAAAACCAATACCAAACCCTTAAATTAAAAAGTTCAATCAAAATATAAATTTAAATGTATGTGAGAGAGGAAGGGGCCCATCATTGATTTCAAATGGCCCAAAACCAGTTAATGCTCATCCTCTGCCACACTCATCAACCTTATACTGCTTTCAATTTCCTCATAAACTCAGCCTCTTCCTACCTTTTATTTTATTTAT